TTGGTAAATTATTGCATTTATTCGGGTAAATGTTTATTATAAAAGACTTATTCCGAGTAAGCACATTTATCCATTTGCTTTTATTTTCCAGGTAAATAAAACAATGATCATTTTATCCTTAAAAAATTCACTATTAAAAGGGGTATTGTTGTCCCATTCAAGTGTTAATTATTTTCTCCAGGAAAGTTATTTATCCACCTAAGCTTCGTTTGTTTGCGATACAAATACCGAATCGGAGTATTTATGTACCCCGGTTCACGTTTGCAAGTATTTGTTTGATACATAAAAAAGTAATGATTATCAAAGCAAAAATGTATTTTTCTGACACTTTTGTATTATGAGAAGAAAGCATTACTATACTTATTTTTTGGATACAATTTTGTGTTCTTTTGATAATTAACTTTTTGACCAAAATTAAGGCATTGGAGCATAAGACAGTTGGGGCATTTAATGATGGGCCCACACTTTGCACCGATTTCAAACAAACAAGATGAATAAAAAAACGGTTTAAAATGTGAACTGTGTTTACATTCATGAACCAAAAAATGGGTAAATATGTAATGTACATATTTTGCGTTTGCATTGCAACTAAACACAACCCTAAGAGATTATACCCAGAAAAATAAACTTTTCCTAATCTCCACATAAATCTGAAAAAAAAAACATTGATTTATTGGTCAATGGGAATCAAAATCCCATTGACCAACTTTCCCCACTCTTAAAATCCTTAAAAAAAAACACCCCCCTGAAAGGTATGTCCTAACTCCTAATAATTTCCCTCAATATTTATGATGATGGCAAGTTATGGGGCTGAGGCTGGTTACATCATGGTTAACCCCGAAACAGAATAGCTTTGACCACTGGTTCTTGGGTCAAACAATCCAACTTTCCGGTCCGAGCCCCATTTAAATAGTTTTTGGGTTAAAAAACAGACCCTGAGCCATGACTGATTCTTGTGTCAAATTGTCCAAATATCTGGTCTGGTCTAATTTTTAAAACGATAGGTTACAACTTGTGTTGGGGTAAACAAGAAAAACCAAACCCAACCAATGAGACCGAATTAAAAGTTTCAGTTAGCCAAATTGATTGATTCAGTATTTTGAAAAAAAAACAAAGCTACCGGTTTAGTTTCGGTTAACTAATATAAAAAACCGATAATTAGCTGAACCGACTGATATAATGTATTATATTTTATAAATATATATAAATATAATATATAATAATTATTTTTTATTTATAATATAATATTTTATATTTATTATATATAATATTATGAAAATAAAAAAAACCAAAAAATCAATAAACCACAACAATGATTAACTGATTAACATAACTTCGATTGGATTTCGGTTGCCAGTTTTCCATGAACCAGTACCACCGATTCAGTTTAAAAAAAAAAAAAAGCCCAACGGCGTATTGATTGGAGATTAAGGCAGTGTTCCGAAGCATGGATTTGAGTGATAGTGGCCCATTCCAAAACACGCTACACTCAAACTTGCGTTCGTTTGAAGTGTAGCGAGTTTTCAAACGCAATATACCGTGGATTGAAATGGTCTATCTCTCAAAATATCATCCACGGATTTATATGTGGTTTCATCTACACCACGGTGTGGAAGTTAACTTTTATAATAAAAGAATGATTCTGTGTTTCACCATAATTCATAACCATAATCTATAATCTATGTATCTTCTTCTATTTGATTTTCTCTCTCATTGCCTTCTTTGCATCGAATGTTATTTATATTTTACTAATTTTTATTATTTTAAATCTAAAATTTAATTTCAAAAGTAATGTTTTATTAATCTTTAATATTATTAACAAATTATATTAATTTCTTATTTATATTTTTTAATTTTATCAGTGTTAGTTATATTTGTGTAGTTTAATTTTTTATTCATTTTTATTAATTATTGTTAGAAAGATTTGTTTTAATAATTTTTATATTTATTAATACATATGTGTTAATGTTTTATTTTAATTTACTTTTATTGATAAATATGTATTGATGTATTGTCCCTTATTATTAACTATTATGTTTAATTTGTATTATTTTACTATTTATCTTATTTATAAAACATAATAATTTTTATACTTGATCAATAATGTAAATCATTTCATATATTGTATGTGAGATACATAGAATCAAAATATAAAGTGTGGATTGAATTGAACCACACCTTGGAGAACAGCTCTATTGATGACGTATAGTGTGGTTCAATCCACATTGTCCGCCCACACTATAGAACAACTCTAGCATGTGGTGTGGTGTAGATGAATCCACACCACATTATAGAACCCTCTAAATCTAGCAATATCTGTTATAGGCTTTGGATTCAACTTCATCCCACTCCTACTCATCTCTTTGGGTATGAGATCTCGAATCTCCTACACACACAGGGGTTTTCAATGTAAAATTTCCTTTTCCTTGCAAGGTTAAGTCATACTTCATATCTGCAATGCAACTCATTGCTGATGCTGACTGAGCAGTAGAGCACACACGCCACACCATTGCTGCTAAAGACAAACCATGTGCGGTAAATTTTTTACTGAACCGCTGGGTTTCACCTTATCGGCAAAGAAAACAGAAAGATAAAAAGGAAAAAGAAAAAAACCACTCATCCTCCCTCCTTTTACCCAATGTATTCAAAAACAAAAGGAAAATGCGGCTATAAAACATTTCGTATCGTCAAGAAAAAGCTAAGTTCTTTTCACCATGTTGGCATGTTTGATAAAAAAAATCAAAAGCAGAAAATATGCTTTCATGATGAGCCGAAAAATTGACTTTTTGGTGAAGCCATCTGAGATAGCTTTCTCCTAAGGGACTCAATCAACTTAGAAATCCTCCCAAACAGACCATTAACTGGTGGATACAGCGCCTCGAGAGTATCAGTTCGCATAATCCCTTGCAGCCTTATATTGAGAATATCTTTTCATAAAAAAAAAGGCATATAAACATGAAGATATTCTCAATATATGATTATAAAAAACTGTACCAACAGTGTAAACATGGTCTTGTGAGCATTGAAGCCGATCTCGCCTATGAGATTATGAATTCAAGTAGAAGAGAATTTAGAAGAAACGTATGGACCCTTTTTGGGCCCCACAACCATGTGAAAGGTACACTTAGAAAATCATTCTCAAAATATAAACATCTAGACTTTAAATTTATCAGGAATAAATTAGAGAGAAAAAAAAAATAATGTGCAAGAAAGGAATGCAATCTTTTCTCTTTTTTGGCCCCAAAAAAAGGTATGCATTAATCTTCAGTGACGAGGGGATGAACATATAATATTTACTTTTTTCTAATGTATCACAAATTACTAAATTAGGGTTGTATATACTCCGGACAGTCCACAAGAATTTTATCCTCATCTACCCACAAAACATTATCTCCGTGCATCGGGAACATCTTCCGATAAATGATAATATGTAAGTACATGAGATGTTCTCAATGTATGGCTGTATTGATGTGTGGGTAAGGTTCTTGTAGGTAGCCAAACTTGTGTGTAAGTTTGGGGGAGAGTAAATGAAATCATGTATATGTGTAAGTTTGTAAACACTATCTCATCTAAACTGACACCTTTTACTTAGAGCCCGTTTGAGAGGTTTTTTGCATTGGGGGTGCATTATGTTAATTGAGCTGCAGTGATTGAACATAGAAATTATTCATGTAGCTTCAAATTTGAATAGTGGATTGGGTATTTTGAAAGCCCATGTACAGAGAACAAACAAGCTGAACGTGCTGGGTTAGTACTGTAAATGTTCAATAGGTTTTACACTTTTGCTGGTGAGTAGTAGTCCAATGATGTACCATCTAATGCATACGGTTAAAACGTTTTAATGTTTAGAGTGACAACTGACAAAGCAAAGAATAAGGCTGTATTTGGTTGCAATGCAAATAAATTTACGTTGATGCAAAACTTTGGCGGTTTAAATGATTTAAGTGTAAATTCTTACCTACTTTTATTTTAAATTTTAACTTATTTTGTTTGATTGCATTACAAGTGAAGTGTAGTAAATTAAGACATGAAACAGAATAGAGCAAAACCCAAAACAAAATTAAATAAGAATTTACATTTTTCTCATTTGCATTCCCATGCATTTGTACTAGTGCAAATAAAATTGCACTACAACCAAATGCAACCCTAAATTTCATTAACATATTGAGCTCTGGCTCCCAAATTGAGCTGTCAGCATGATTTTCCAGCCATATGTTTCTCTTCCCAAATCAATACATCCATCAACTTGCCTCATAAATGTTTATATCATCCAAATATTATATTAATGATCTATTTGGTTCATAGATGGAATTAGAATTGGAATGGGATTTCATTTTCAAGAAAGAAAGAGGGAATGGAGAATGTCATTAAGAAGAAATGAAATTCTAATTCCACCCAATCAAATAGTAAGAAATTTTAAGTTCCAAATCCCTATTCGTTTGAACCGAATGATTGGTCTATTTTGATAAAAAATAAAAAGATAAAAAATAAATAAATAACAGTTAAAATCGTTCAAACGGTTAACCACCCAGGTCAGCAATTTACTGACCAAAATCAATGATTTTTGAAAAAGATTTAGTGTTGGGGAAAAACGAAATTGATCACTTGACCGGTTCTTAGTTTTTCCAGTCCGACCGTCCGGTTTTGAAAAGCATGTTATTAGCTTTATATATATTATTGTTCCGAGAGTGCGACCAAACTACTAGAACTGGGCGACTACAAACACGGACCCATTCTCCCATAAAATTCCATGCATATCTACGAGTGAGAGAGTGTGCGATACTAACCTTATTAATTATCCTGATTCGCGCAAATGCAATCTACAGCAAATTACCATCTCTCTCCCTCTCTCTAACAGTTCATGAACGACGTGGAGATCAATCATCAAATCCATTCTCTTACGTCACCACTAGTGTTCAGAGTTCAGACACAATCTCTCCTCTATATAAACCAATCTCCCTCTCCTTCCTTCCTCATTCCCAAACCACACACAAGTGAGAGACAGAGAGAGAAGAGCTCTCTTCTGTTACTCACAGCCCATATGGCCTTCATCAGTACATCACCCATCTCCCTCTGTGTCCTCTGCTTTCTCGTTTGTCTCTTTGTCTCTCCGCACAACGGAGACGCCCGCCCAGCATTCGCCTGCGACCCACGAAATGGGCTGACGAGGAACTTACCCTTCTGCCAGGTATCTCTGCCGATACCCGACAGGGTGAGGGATCTCATTGGGCAGTTGACGTTGCAAGAGAAAATAAGATTGCTGGTTAACAACGCAGCCGCGGTGCCGAGGCTGGACATCGGGGGTTATGAGTGGTGGTCGGAGGCGCTCCACGGTGTCTCCAACGTTGGCCCTGGAACCAAATTTGGTGGAGCTTTTCCTGGAGCTACCAGTTTCCCTCAGGTCATCACCACTGCAGCATCCTTCAATGTGTCCTTGTGGGAACAAATTGGACAGGTTAACTTTTAATCTTTTTTTATTGTTTCCATCTTTTCCATGTTATTTCTTTTTCTGTTTAATTATCTGAGACTGATACTTTGGAGATAGTGGATAATGGGTATTCCAGTCTCTTGTCACGTGGATGGAAAGGAAATTTCCGTTTCTGCTGCTGAAACTGGCCAGAACTGTGAGGCCCTGGGCAAACAAGAGGATAACGAGAGAGAGAGATCATGGGCCGGACCTGGGCCGATAAAATTATGGTCTTATAAATTAAGTTTTAATTTAATTCACCAATCAAAAGTACAGACAAACTTCGAAAAAATTATTATATATATTAATATATGATACCGTTTATACATATATACATGCTATATATTGAGAAAATATGATGTCATATATATGTATATGATTTCATACCATATATCTTATACTATATATATGTAGATATATATTTGAAAAATATATCATACCATGTATAGAATATTTTCCATATAGCCATCCGGGAGTAGGATTTTAATTACTTGGCCTAAGCTCAGCCCGGATCATGGGCCGGGTCTGAAAGAAAAATAGTTGCCTGGGCCCAAAAACTTTTGGACTCACGCTCATGAAAATAACTGTAGGCTATCTGGGAAGAGTGGTAAGAGAAAGGTGGTCTTCTATTAGTACCTAAGCTCATAATATAAAAAAAATAAGTAATTAAATAACAAAATAATATTTGTGTAAGTGTGGGTATATATATATTAATTTCCAATAAATTGTTAATAATATCTAAATGAAGTAATGAACAATAGCCAGTCCAGACAGCATGGACCCATAAACTGGTTAAGGGTCCCATAACTTGTCAAACTACACTTAATATAATTAAGAGAATCTAAAGCTGAACTTCTGAACCATGGTTGAACTTATTCAAATCCAGTGATAGCGCGCTCCCTCTCTGCTGGTGAAGTCAATGAATTTATGTAGTTCCCATTTCCCACTTCCCACTCCTCTAGGACCCAATCCACTTCCACCCTCAAATTGGATCGATTCAAAGGATAATAATGGTGCTCTGAACCAGTATCGTGGCCTACAGGGCCCACACTAGAACTACAAGTGAATCCATAGCCAACGCCATTGGCTATTATTGGCTTGAAACAAACCATCTGGCTTCAATTAAACAGTTCAAACTTGGCTCCTTCCATCGTTCCGAGGGACGGACAGTCGGACTCGGACACGAAGCACGTCAGTTTTGTAACGTGAACAGCGTAAATAAGTAAAAGTGTGTGGGTGATGGTGTGCAGGTGGTGTCAGATGAAGCGAGGGCCATGTACAACGGAGGGATGGCCGGTCTGACGTATTGGAGCCCAAATGTCAACATACTCAGAGATCCAAGGTGGGGTCGGGGACAAGAGACTCCCGGCGAGGATCCCATTGTAGCCGGTGAGTACGCGATCAGATACGTTAGAGGACTCCAAGGAAACGACGGTAACCGATTGAAGGTTGCCGCCTGTTGCAAGCACTACACAGCCTACGACCTTGATGACTGGAATGGCGTCGATCGCTTCCACTTCAACGCCAAGGTATATAACCTACACTGATCATCAAACAAACTAGATCTAGCTTCTCATTTTTCTCCTAAGTAAGGAAAATTCATGGTTTTGAGAATTAGACCAGATTAGACGGGTACACCGGTTGAAAGCGGTTTCGAACCGGTTCAAAACCATGGGAAAATTGGTTATATCTGACGTAAAGAGATGATCAAATGGAACACAGGTGAGCAAGCAAGACCTGGAGGACACGTACAATGTGCCGTTCAAGGCTTGTGTGTTGGAAGGGAATGTAGCTAGTGTGATGTGCTCCTACAACCAGGTCAATGGCATCCCAACTTGCGCTGACCCCAACCTTCTTCGCAATACTATCAGGGGTCAGTGGCGCCTTAACGGGTAAACTCTATTGTCAGCTTATCAATATCATCATCAATTCAATACAATAGTCTCGTTTTTTTTCAGTTTTTATGTTCTGTTGGGGAGTGCTTATTTGAAAAATAAGTGTTTATTCTAATAAATGCTTACGAGTGTTTGATGAAAAACAAATACTTATTTTAAATAGATATAATTAAAGTATTTCCAAAATGACATGATTTTTTTTCGTAAAGACAATATATTAGTATTAGGGGTGGGTTCGAGGCGAGCAAGCTGAAAAGTATAAGGCTCGAGCTTGGTTTCGCTCGAACTCGATTTTGAGAAAAAATATATTTTATAAAAATAAAAAATTATATATAAAAATATTTTTTATTTGATATTTAAAAAATAAAGAATTATAATATTTTTATTATTTGAACTTGGCTCGAAGTTTGGTTGAAATCGAGCCAAGTCGAGCTTGAGTAGCCCATGAAGAGCTCGGCTCGTTGCCACCCCTAGTTAGTATAGGCTAAAAAGGAAATAAGCAAATGAGCCCAAAATTTATTATTTTCAAATAGGTGATTATTATCAGAATAAACACTTATTTTGCATTTATTTTCTAAGCCCAAATAAGTACTATTCATGTGGTCTCAGAGCAAAATAAGTATTTATTACAATAAACACTCACAAACTGAGGTGATGTTTGGAATAGGATCCACATCAGAATTTGAAGAATCAGTGATTTTTTTCTTGTTTGGTTGGTCAATTATACCAGTTTTTGGGAAATTAGCTAAAAACCGATTATTGTAATAACCTTTTAAGGGATTTCATGATTTCTTTATTTTTAACTAATTCCAATTTTTCGAAGATGACATGACATTGACATTGAATGATAACTCTAATGCAAAAATAAGAATTCAAATCAGCTCCCCACGAGATTGCCTCCACAACATCCCACAGCACATCCCCGCAGTGTATTGGCAACATCTTCCAATGATAATCCTAAAAATGATGATGTCATCATTGGGAGATGTTTCCAATACAGGGGCGGGGATGTGTTGTGGGATGTTGTGGGGGGCTGATTTGGTCTCCAAAAATAATCGATCCTTGAAAATCAGTAACAAACAGACTCAAAGGGGGCGTTCTTTTTTCGGATTTTGAGAGGGGAAAAATTGGTCAATGGGTAAGTGATACCCATCTCCTAGGTGGGTAAATAACTTTCCCACTTAGGAGGAAAGTTGCCAATACTTGAATGGGACAACAATGCCCTTTTTAATAATAGATTTGTATGGCTAAAATGGTCATTGCCAAATAAAAAAATATGTAAATGCACTTACCTAGTTAAATGTTTCCCAATAAAAACCTACCCAGGTAAACTGCATTTATCTGGGTTAGGGTTGTTCACGGGTCAGGTTGGGTCGGTTTAATGGGGTTTTCCCAACCGACCCGACCTGGTCGGGCTACCTGAGATGGAAACTGAAACCGACCCAGTGTTAAGAAAAACCGACCTGGTCGGTTTGAGTCAGGTTGGGTCGGTTTCGGTTTTGCTCCTGTAAAAAAAGGACATAGAAGCCTAGAAGGAAATATCTATTCTAAAAATTGAAAGCTGAAAACTGAAGTTTTTAAGATATTTTCTGGAAATATATTTAAAAAGTTAGAATTAGAATAGAAGACAAAAGTTATCAAGAAAATAGAAAGTCAAATTGTTTTATAGAAAGAATGCTGAAATTTGTATATTTCAAGAAACTTTCTAAGTTCTAATCTAAGTAAAAAATGACACATAATTCTAATTGTAATTCCCTAATGGGTTGCCTATTTGGTATAATAGAGTATAGAAACTAGGATCAAGACAACTTAGTTAAATAGGAAATAGAAGACTAGGTTAGGTTGTAATTAGGAATTAGGATAGAGACAAATTAGTTAAGTAAGAACTAAGTCGGTTCTGTTCGGGTCAGTTTCGGTTTTCACACAAGAAAATCGAAACCAACCCAAACCATCGATTTATGAATTTGTACAACCCGAAACTGACCGACGCTTATGAAAATCCGGCCAACTCAAATTGGGTCCATCCAGATTGATCGATTTAATCGGGTTGGGCCTTCTTATGAACAGTCCTGACTGGATAAGTAATTTACCGAAAAGCGAATGGGGCCAAAGTCTATTTTTCAAAAATCAGCTTAATACCAAACAACAAATTTTGATAATTTTTCAAAAAATCACTTATTCGAGGAATCATCCATTTCTGAATAATCGGCAAGGTGAAATCATCGTCAATGCCAACAATTTAATGATCCATGTGACGTGGGTCCCCTATTAGATCCCCATCTTAAATCTTATTCACATATATGCATTTGGGTTGTGGTTGCATCCACAGATATATCGTTTCGGACTGCGATTCTGTCGGTGTCTTTTTCGATCAACAGCACTACACCTCAACACCAGAAGAAGCAGCCGCAGACGCCATTAAAGCAGGTCAGTCAGTCTTCCCCGGCCTCATTTATTTTTCTTCAACCATTTGCTGGTTTTGAAATCAAGGGTGTCTTTTTGTTATTTTACAGGTTTGGATTTGGATTGTGGGCCTTTCCTCGCTATTCACACGGAAGCGGCCATAAGGAAAGGCATGTTAACCGAAGGGGCCGTTAACGATGCTCTAACCAACACCTTAACGGTCCAGATGAGGCTTGGGATGTTCGACGGTGAGCCGTCGGCCGAGCCCTTTGGCCACCTCGGCCCAATGGATGTTTGTACGCCGGCCCATCAAGAGCTAGCACTGGAAGCTGCTCGACAAGGCATTGTTTTGCTCAAGAATCAGGGACCGTCGTTGCCACTGTCTAGAATCCGCCACCGTACAGTAGCGGTTATCGGGTCCAATTCTGATGTCACAGCAACCATGATAGGCAACTACGCAGGTACAACTCGTCTGCTGGCACAATGTTATACGTAGGGTTGTAAATAGATTCAATCAGAGCTCGGATCACGTTACCCACGAATTGTTTCCACATCCTTACCGCTATATAATTACAGCTGTCCATTGAATATCTCCTTTATCATTCATCATTCATGGGTGATATTCCCAATATATGGTAATAGTGTTCTATGGGTACGGATTGATGTGGGAACAATTGTAGGTAGCAGATGCAACGTGATTCAATTTACATTGAATCCACATCCAACTATGAAATCAGATGTTGGATTGGGTTTAGTCTACAATCATTTTATTGTATTTAAAATAACAAAAAAATAAAAAAAAATAATTTTTTAAATATATATATATAATAAATGCATATAAATATAAATTATTAAATTTAACAATGAAAAATTTTACACAACTATATATAATATCTATATTTATATGCATACATAAATATATTATATATACATAACATAATAATTTTATTGAATGCAAGTTAATAATGGGATTTAGAATCCAATCGGGTATCAGATTTTGAGACTCTATTGACAGCCTTCTGATCTCTTTGTTTTGGGAATTTTTTATTTAGGTGTTCCGTGTGGATATACTACTCCCCTGCAAGGGATTGCGAGATACGCCAGGCCCATCCACCAAGCCGGGTGCATTGACGTGGCCTGCAACAGTGACCAGCTATTCGGTGCGGCTTTGGACGCGGCCCGTCAAGCGGACGCAACGGTGCTAGTAATGGGACTAGACCAGTCCATCGAGGCAGAAGCTAGAGACAGGGTGGGACTACTCCTACCGGGACGCCAACAAGAGCTCATATCTAAGGTCGCCATGGCCTCCAGGGGTCCCACTGTGTTGGTCTTAATGTCTGGTGGGCCCATCGATGTGTCCTTTGCTAGGGACGCCCCACGTATCCCTGCCATCTTATGGGCAGGGTACCCTGGCCAAGCAGGAGGGGCTGCAATTGCCGATGTGTTGTTTGGAACAACCAACCCAGGTAGAGATGAGACCGGATCTGCTTCTCACAGTTGGCGCCTCACACGCACATCTTATCATGTATTGGGAATATCCTCCGTATTTATTAGTTATTATTTACGGGAGATGTTCCCAATGTATGGTGAATGTGCCTGTAAGGCGTCCATTTGTGAGGAACACAAATCCCGCTTCGGTAGACATACGTTTCTGCTTCTCTTTATTTTTGTCTGGGTAGTGGGTACTCACATATACAATGTTTATTTACATAAAACCCTGTTCACGGGCTGGGCTTGAGTTTTGCTTTTATCAAAATTTAAATGGCCTCAACATAAAGCCTGAGCCTAAAATAGTGTAAAATGAGGCCCAAAGCCCAGCCCATGAATAGGTATATTTCAAGTTATCCAGATATACTCTCCTAAAAAAAAAAAAAAAAAATCTGTTGACTCCATTACAGCTGTGACCTAAGGCCCCATTTGGTTTACAGGAATAGGGACTTGGAATCAGAATCGGAATGGACTGTTTGGTTAGGTGGAATCGGAATTCTATTCTTGTTCCTGTTAGAATGGTAATTCCCAATTTGAGAGAATGACCATTTCCTGCCCCCCATTCCTCCTGAGTCCAACTCCCATTCTCATTCATGTCTGAAGTTCTCAACCAAACAGACTACGGAAATACCAAGGTTCAAAGTATCGATCGTATCGGCTGATACATATCGTGCTGGTGGCTGGGGGTGGAGGAGCCTTAAACCGGCCTCCCTGAACCAGTTTTGAAATAAATAAATAAGGGTTCAAAACAAAATTGATATCGCCTGATACGCCCCTACCAGTGTATCGGGTGTATCGATATTTTAAACTTTGGGAAATACATCACTCCCATTCCGATTCTTATTGCAAACCAAACAGACCCATACCCCTCATTTTTACATTTCTACTAATTGATTCACACCACTGTTCACTGTTCAGGAGGCAAGCTGCCAATGACATGGTACCCACAGGACTACGTGGCTAGGTTGCCAATGACGACCATGGACATGAGATCTGACCCATGGAGAGGGTACCCAGGCAGGACCTACAGGTTCTACAAAGGCCCAGTAGTGTATCCCTTCGGGCACGGAATGAGCTACACCAACTTCGTATACACCATCGCAGACGCCCCGGCCATGGTCACAGTTCCCCTCCGCGGCCACCAGGGGAACTCCAGCACCTCAGGCAAGGCAATCAAGGTCACACACGCCAAGTGCGATGGGCTGTCGGTCGTCCTCCACGTTGACGTGAAGAACGCCGGCTCCAAGGATGGATCGCACTCGCTACTCGTCTTCTCGTCACCTCCACCGGCCGAACATTGGGTGCCCCAGAAGCAACTAGTAGCTTTTGAGAAAGTCCATCTCCCAGCAGGCTCTCAGCAGAGAGTTCAGATCACCATACATCTCTGCAAGTTTCTTAGCGTCGTTGACAAGCTTGGAATTCGAAGAATTCCTTTGGGCCAGCATGTTCTTCACATAGGCAATATCCATCATTCCATCGTTCTGCGAGCAGCTTAGTTGGGGGGGTGATGGCAACTATGTCGTCCTTGGTGTTGGATGATTAAGGACAAAGATAATTCGTCGTTGCATGGAGAAAATCTTCATCAACAAATAGAATATATATATATATATATATATATACAGAAAACTGGTAGATTAGTGGGTAAAAATGAGTTCTAATCCAGGGATCAGAATAAGGTTGGTCAGTGCTTGGTTGTTGATTCTTAACATGAAGAAAGAAGAAAAGCACCAATTTCGTCGTTATATGTCTGTGGGTTGCTCCTAAAAGATGAGGAGCTCTTCATTGTTGAAAGAGATGAAAAGAATCAACTGTAATACTTAAGATGAGTTTTATTATTATAATATATAAGGTTGCTTTTTAACTTCTAAGCATGTCACTTGAAAATTTTTTTGACACCTATTCCTTAAAATACCCTCACCCTACTCTTGAATTGGACCTGGTCTATCAGTGATAAATTTATATTGAATTGGGTTGGATTAAGCAAATATATGATCCATTAATATAAGATAAGAATATAGGTATCAATGAACCAGATTTAGGTTGAAATCAATCTAAATTAAAACGAATTTGAAGATATTGGATGATCCAAACATTGAATTGGATTGATCCAAAATATTCATTGAATTGAATTAAATTTTATACATTTATAATGGATTCACATTGGACCAGATCGGATTGAACCAAATCCAGTCCAATTGACACCCCTAAGCACAACTTACATGTTTGTATTAAAAACCACATTTGACAGTGTCAGAATATTTATCCCAAACGAGTCAGACACATGCACGGCAGTAGACAAGGCATGAGCACAAACAACCCAATTTTTAGGTAAGAAGAGGTTTTCAAATTAATGTGTGAAACTAATCAGATCCGTTCCCTCATTCAACAAATTAAGAACCGAGCTGGGAAACAAGGTTGTAGTGCTTTGTTCGCCCAAATCAACCAAGCCTGACTAATCTAACTGAATGACTAATAAAAATTAAAAAAAAATAAAAACTAAATTAAGAAAAGTTAAAGCATTCTGATTCAAAAATAATGCAAAGAATTAGGTAAACGTTAAAATTGGTAGTTCAGTTACATATATGAATTCATCCTTCTCACAGATTGTTCTCACGATTGAAAACCTCAACGCAACCTAGTACATAGTGGGTTCATTATATATAATTAAGGATACTATGGGGTCTGTGACAAAGACCCCCTTGTACTATAACCTTGAGACAAAGACCCTCTTTCATTAGTTTTTCGTCCAAAAATGCCGTTGCAATATTTTTTAATCCCTATATTATCCTTGTAATAATTACTCCGAAGAAAAAAATATTGTTCATCTTTCCCGACCTTCTTTCATCTCTCTCTCCCCCCCACCACCCCAATCTTCCCCTTCCCTTAACAGCATCGGGATTGAACCCATTTTCATGAGTTTGGTGTGATTGCTCTGAACCAGTGAGAGGTGAAGAGGATAGTTGAATTTCACCTGCCATTTTGGCATATTGCATTTCATAACAGGTTCTTCCTCTGTAACCACTTGTTCTTGCTCCTTCAACTATTGCTTTTCACCTGCCATTCGGTATCGAGCCAACTGTGGGATGGGGTAATTGTCACTCAAGCTGATTTTCAAGCTCTTCAAGCCATCAAACGCGAATTAGTTGATGCTCTGGGAATCTTATGGAGGTGGAATGACAGTGGCTTGCTTTTGATTTATATCGTTAATTTTTAAAAAACCCCATTGTTCATTGTAAGGTTTTATAGATGATGAAGCAATCTGCCGCACTCTGCGAGCTGATCTTTAGATAATTAACTCAGTTACATTCAAACACATTAAAGCGAGGCAATGCCGCAGGGGAATCCCAACAGAAATTAAAGAGCATAGATAAACTGGGTAGAAGAGAAAAAGAGATCACTCTCTCTCGAAGCAACCTTTATCAGAAATAAGAGGCAGCGGTGACGTTGATACAGGAACTTCCACATCAACGTCTCCAGCTCCCGTGAAAGAATAGCTCATCTTCTCAGACCACGGCGGCGTGTAGGAATGTATGAAATCATCAAATCCCTCTTCGTTCTTCCCTGCATCTCTGTCGTCCCCAAGCCCACTCAAGTCCTTCGGCATCCTGATTTCCCCTTCGAAGTACCTGACCACCTTTCTCATGGTCGAACACACAGCGGGGACACAGTGGGAACACATCATCCCCAACTTGAGCACCATCATCATCTCCGACTCATCATACTCCCCATTCATCCTCGAGTCCACCACGTCCAAGATGGCCCCATGGCCCCCATCCCTCCATCTGTGCCATTCCATGGGAGCTGGATCGCTATAACCTGACCTTTAACGCACTTGATCCCTGCCCATCCTCCTGAACAAGCTCCAAAGCCACTGTCATTCCAACTCTGTAAGATTCCCGGAAGATCCACTAATTCGTGTCTGAAGGCTTGAAGAAGCTTGAGTGACGACTATCCCATCCAACGGCTGGCTCGATACCGAATGGCAGGTGAAAAGCAGTAGTTGGAGGAGCAAGAACAAGTGGTTATAGAGGAAGAACCCATTATAAAATGCAACATGCCGAAATGGCGTTTGAAATGCAACGATCCTCTTCCTCTTCACCTCTCACTCCTTCAGAGCAATCGCACCAAATTCGTGAAAATGGGTTCAATCCTGACGCTGTTAAGGGGAAAGGGAAGAAGAGAAATCGGGGGAGAGAGAGAGAGGAGAGAGAGGAAGAGAGAGAAATGTGAATGAAGGTTGAGGAAGATGAACAATATTTTTTCTCATGGGAATAGTTATTACAAGGGTAGTATGGGGATTAAAAATATTGCAACGTCCTTTTTGGAAGGAAGTCTTTGTCTCACAGTCATAATACAGGGGGGTCTTTGTTGCAAAA